ATTTAGCCAAATCTCTCAACTATACTGTAAGACTCAAAAAGCCATCTTCCAAACAACTTTAATAAAGGTTCCACTTCATCAGTCTCATACCTGTTTGTTTTTTTTTAATGTGATTAAGCTCAGTGTAATCCACGTCCACTTGTATAACAAAAACACAATTATAGAATTCCTTTTCTCAAGTATTTATTCAAAGCAGTTTCCATGACATGTTAAATGTCACATTTAGGTAGTGGCATTAACAGACTTCTTTTCTTCCAATACTTTTTCTAAAAGAAATGAATAAGCCAAGAAAATAACCTTGCCTTCAAATTCTAGAGTGCGAACAGAATACAGCCAATTCAATTACAAAATGTACACAAATTATGATGTAAACTGTTGCCAACACTTTCCCTAAATAGAATTCCAAAACCCTTACCAGTGTAATTAATGCCTAGCTATACTTGCTTTGAAGTCTTTAAAGAATTTCCCGATTACTAAAGTACAACCTGAACTGCTAGAATACTCTCCTCTTACAGAGATTCTAATTCTCAAACATTTTAGGTATTTTTTTTTTAAACAGAATGTGCCCAGGGCTTCACACATGCTAGGCAACTGCTATTGCCCACTGAGCTGTATTCCCAGCCCTGGTGTAATTTTGTAAGGTCTTTTTCCCTGCCCTTACAAGAGCCATCCTTCCCCTAGTATTGTCTTTACAAGGCTGACTGGGGAAAATTAACATGTAGAAACCACCCTACTGCTCCATCTTATAAATAATATAGCTCCCTGAATTCCATAGTTTCTACCTAAGGCCATTTATAAGTGTTACTAGAACTAAACATCCTTGAGAATCTAAGGTGCTAAGGACAACAGGGCAATCAATATATAACAGTCCAACTTCAACAGCAAGTAAATTTTAATCAGTTAATTACCAATTTATAATGCAATAAAGAATTAAAAGCCAGTAAAAGTCCATTGTTCCTAACCTATAGCCACCCCCACTGCTTCTCATCTCCACTTAGTATTGCTGTCATTGTGTTCACTCATTAGAATGCTTACCATCTCTGAAGAGCTTTCTTCCGTTAGATGTAGGTCACGATAAAAGCAAAAACTAAAAAGCCTTATAGAATAGCATGTTTATTCTCTTTGAGCAATGCACTTAGAGAGTGCATGTAAAATATAGACACCATTTCCTTACAACTGATTCTGATGCGGAAAGTCCTAAAGACGTTGTTAAAATACATTATAATCAACCTTTCCCCCAATTCACCCAATTATAGGCAACTGGGGGCAAATTACAGTGATAGCAGATTGAATTTACAGAGTAATTAGCTGGCTAGAATCATTTTTTATCCAAGGAAATTTCCAGGCAAGACTTCTCGACCACCTTAAATTTACCAACAGCTTTAATGTGCCCAAAAGTGAGTGAAGGATA